CATTGGTTGTTAGTGCTTTCTCCCTCCTTCAATAACCTTATTTTGACATAATAATAACAACTAGCATTTATGTAGTGCTTTATGTTTGCAAAGCACTTTACAAATATTATCTCATTTGATCCTCACAACAACCCTGGGAAATAGGTTCTATTATTATCCCCAGATAATAACACATGAGGAAACTGAGGCAAGCAGGGGTCAAGTGATTTGCCCAGCCAGGGTTACATAGCTACTAAGTATCCGAAGCTGGATTTGAGATCAGGTCTTCCTGACTCCAAGTCCAGCACTTTATCCACTGTCCCACCTAAATGCATCTTTCTCTAAGGTAGAACAGTAAATTTCTTGAGGGAAAGTGGCTGTTTTTCGCTTTGTCTTTGCATTCCCAGTACTTAGCATATTGCCTTAAATGTTGTAGGTGCTTGATAAATGCTTGTTAAATCAAACTGAATGATCGCCCAAATGGATGTATTATAAGAAGCTTTAAGGCAGAGAGAGAGACTGAACCTGCCATGTAGTTCCTTTGTATCTCCCAAGGCACCTAGTATAGTGCTGGACACTTGTCAAAATGAATTACACCAACTTAACAGACATCAGAAATTCACATCATCAGAGTCACACATTTGGAATAAGGCAAGATCTCCAAATGCCTCTTTTAAAATGCACCTGTTATCATTTGAAATCTGCTTCTGTGCTTATTGACATCTCTTTATCTTGCAAAGCCCATTTTAATCATTCCTCTGTCTGTGAAGTGTTTCCCAAGTCCCTTGGCTCACACTGGTTTCTTCCACTACCTTACTTTTTATCCCATACTTTTTGTGCTACTATATTTTTGGTATTTTATCATATAGTATCTTGTATTATTTCCTCTTCATTTACCATGTATAAATTTTGTCTCACTAACTACACTCTAAACTTCTTAAGGCAAGAGACCATATTCTAAACTTTTTTGTTTAAATAGAGAGCTGAGGCTGGAATCAGGAAGACTTGGGTTTAAATGTGACCTCAGACACTTATTAGCTATGTGACCCTAGGCAAATCATTTAACTTTTGTCTGCCTCAGTTTCCTCAACTATAAAATAGAGATAATAATAGCACCTACCTGCCAAGGTTGTTGTAAGAATCAAATGAGTTAATATTTGTAAAATGCTTAGTGTAATACTTGGCACATTGTAAGCACACAAGAAATCCTTCCTTCCTTCCTTCCTTCCTTCCTTCCTTCCTTCCTTCCTTCCTTCCTTCCTTCCTTCCTTCCTTCCTTCCTTTCTTCCTTCCTTCCTTCTTCAGTTTATACCATACTTCTGGGTACATAGCAGATGCTTAATTTATACTTGTTGAATGAGTGAATAGATGAATGAATGAATGAATGTCAGTCATTAACAAATGTTATTTCAGGAAGATTAACCTAGAAGCAATGTTCAGTGGAGTGGAAAAGACTGGAGGTGAAGAGAAGAATAAGAAGGTACTTAATCTAATTCAGGAGTGAGAAGAAAGTTGTCATCTAAGGCAGTGACTATGGGAATGGAAAGGAAGGGATGAAGGCAAAAGACATTTCAAAGGAAGGACAGAAAATATTTGGTGACTGGATGTGGGAACAAGGAAGATGGAAGAGTTATAGTTGATTGAAGTAACTAGTATAAATTATTGATTAAAAGACTCTACCTGGAACACTAAGAATGGGGATAGGTTTTTTTTTTGGAGGCGGGAAAGAATGCTGATTTTTGGCCTTACGCATATTGGGTTTAGTGCAATGGTGGAGCACCTGAATGAAACGTCCATCGAGTTGTTGAAAATATGTGACTGGTACTCAGAAGAGTTAGGTCCAAAGGTAGAGACTTGGGATCTATGCAAAGATGAAAGGTAGAGCCCAGAAGTATGGTATAAGCTTCTGGTATCAGTGAAATGTCAGGTTGGATGACATGTTGAAGGGCAAAAGTATACAAAGAAAAGGTTGGGGAAGATAGCCACATTTGTGTTTACTACAAAGGAGAGAGAGAAGAAGAAAATAGAGAAGTAGAAGAAATAGGAGAGTACAGTTTCACAGGATAAAAGAAAGAAGAAATTTTCTTGAAGGAGGGGATAGAAAAGGTACAGAGGTCAAGCAGAATAGAGACTGAAGAAAAAGTCATAATTATTGCAGTCAGAGTCATAACTAGGAATTTTTGCACCTTAAGCTAGAAGCAAATAAGCCCAGGTCAGTCAGATGCAGGGCAGTGGGGGGGGGGGGCGGCAGGAAGACAGAGACCCTAAGACACCAGCAGGAGTCTGGGGAGGAACTCACTCCTACAAATCAACTGGTAGCTTCCAATTGAATAATCATTTATTAAGACTCCATTTGAGCTAGGCACCATGTTAGGTGCAGGGAATACAAAAACAAAACTAAAAAACAGTCCCTGCCGTCAGGGAGCTTACATTCTACTGAGTGGATACAATACATAAACAGCTAAATATATACAAGGTAGAGAGGAAAGGAATTAACCATGGAATAGTAGATGGAGAACCAGGCTAAGCCTCAGAAAGGAATGGTCTCAAGTTGTACTTCTGACTCAGAAGACTATAGACCCTACTGGCTGTGTGACTCTAGTCCAGTCATTTGACCTCTAAGTTCTGCATGCAACTCTCTAAGACTGCAAATATGCAGAATAGTCACTGATCTGCATTAGCAGAGGAAATTTCTCCACTGGGATTTCCTAACACCAATGAAATAGCAGGTCTGGACAAAATATGCACAGGTTCACACATATGTATAATACTCTGAGGATGAGAAGAGCCGTAACAATCAGGAGGAATCGAGAAAAGCTTACCTCAGAAGTCAGCGCATGAGCTAAGCCTTTCTTTAAGAAAACTAAGGATTCTCAGAGGGTGAGATGAGGTGAAGGAGCATTCCAAGCCAAGCCGACAGCAGGCTAGGTAATGAAACAGAGGTAGAAGATGGGGCACCAAGTTCTAGGAACAGCAAATAGGCCAGTCTGGCTGAAAAAGATAGTGTGTAAAGGAGAATCATTTGAAATAAGCTTAGAAAGACAAGGTGGAGCCATATTATAAAGGATGCTAAGCTGCGGGGACCTTAAAGGACGTTTTATAGATAGGGAACTGAGGACCAGAGAGATAAAGTGACTTGCCTGAAGTCACATAGATAGTAAGTAGCAGATCTAGGATTTGAACTCAGGGTCTACAACTCCAGATTCAGTAATCTTCTAATCAATCTCTGTCTCTGTCTCTTTCTCTCTCTCTGTCTTTCTCTCTCTCTCTGTGTGTCTCTCTCTCCCCCTTCCCCCTTCCTCTTCTCTTTTTTTCTCTCCCTCCCTCCTCTCTGTCTCTGTCTGTCTGTCTGTATCGCTTCATGCTGATGGTAGATGAACCTTAGCTCTAGGCAGGGGATGACAAAGGGCTAGCATTCTCCCCTAAGGAGAGAAGGTAGCAGGACCAATATCTTGTCCCTTCTCCCACTGGATATAGTAGATTCATGTCCAAGTGGTCTTTCTTCCTGTAGAGTATTAGAAAGGGCTAGTAGAAGGGAGGATATCCTTGTGAACCACTGTGATGCCTCTTCACTCTCATAGGCAACCTATGTACCCAGTTCCTACTGATATTGGGGAAAGGCTTTGGAACCTCCTGAGGCAGTGAGAACCCATGATGCTGATGGTATGGTCTCTCTCCTTATCCATAAGTCTTCTAGTCTAAGTCTTCCATGGTAAGAGGAAACCTGCTCTACTGGTTTACAGACCAAGGAAGCCCTGCTGCAGCCCATTGATTGGGGCAGATGTTTCTATCTTTCCTCAACTCCACTCCATCTCTTCTGTACCCACTTCAGCTTTGGTGGGAGGAACCCAGAGTATTCCTGATGTAGCCTGAGGGAAAAGAAGCCTGATCTCATTTCCTCAGGGTTCTTTGTTTTCCAAGTATGGAAACCTGGTCCTAGATATACTTTCTTCATGTCTCCAGGGACTATTTGGAACCCTCTAAGTTTATCCAAGCTTGGGACAAAGTCCTATTTGCCCCATCCTGGTTGTGGTTCTGCCTGTAGTACTTTGAAGACTGCAACAGTCTGTTTCTTTGTGATGCTGAACAACAATGACCTTTTTCAAACATTTCAGCAGTTTCATTTCAGAGTAGAGAATCTTCTCTAATTTCCTTCTACCAGCATGGATTAAAATGGCATTTTTTTTTTCTAACTCAGTTGTGAGTGGTTTCGCTCTGGCCAATGGGAGGCAGCACAAGCTAGAATTCTGAGTTAAGGAGGGAGATGAGCATTGCTGAATTTGGCTCCAGCCAGGTAGACTGAGAGAAATCGCTCGTAGTGGTGCTCCAGTTTCCTTGTCTGCATAGCCAGGAGAGGATTACCTGAAGAAGGATGATTGGAAGATATTATCAACATAGGAGGACTAAATTAATGTTAGGGATTCTTTCCCCAAGTCACACCAGGGTACAGTTCAATTTCTCCCGGTGCAGTATCTTGCCCTTGTAAGCTTGAAAGAAAAACTCTAATTTTGAAGGTTTTCTTTTGTTTCTTTTCTTTAAAAAAAAAATAGAGGGGATAGGTACTGGCCCTGTGATTTAACTGGTAAAAGGAACTCTGAGGAAATTTCCTCTACCAATGCAGGTCAGCACCTTTTCTGTAACTCATTGTGTAGCTTCCTAGTTTCAATGTCAGCTCTCTGGCCACTATGCAAATTGCCTCCCTTTTTGTAATAATCAAATAGGTATTGTTGATTCTCATTCTCATGGATAAGGAATACAAGCATAAAGAATAACAGTGGGTCTAGAGGATGGAGCCATGGTATTTCCGCATGCTTGTGATATATATGTATTTAACAATACAAAAACAATCATTCTCCATATAATTTCATACTTTTATCATATTGTTGCCCTTTGTCATAGCAGTACATCAATTTGGGTTTGAGAAATCTAAAAGCAATGGTAAAATGCCAGCCTTGAATTTTAACCTTTTAACCATCTCAGTTTTTTATCCCAGCCCAAGCAAAAAAAATTTTTTTTGGCAGGGCGAGTGGTGGATGGACAGGGAAGGGTCACAATCTGTGATTTCATTCTACCAATGAAGACAGGCACCTGTTTCTCAACTGTATCATCTTGGAGAGTTTCCTGGGGTTCCTGAGATGTCAAGTGATTTGTCCAGGATCCCACAGTCAGTAGGTGTCAGAGGCTGGACTTGAACCCAGGTCTTCTTGATTCTAAGACTTACCCACTGTTCACTATACCTTGCTACCCAAGCCTTACAAAAAGATTAAAATCAGTGTTGTTGCTGCTTTGAATAATTTTTGGTCTCAGTTTATCTAGAGCAAAGATTCTTCACCATTTTTTTTTTATTGTGGATCCTTATGGCAGTCAGATGAATCCTGTCAAGTTGTTCTCAGAATCATGTTTTAAATGCATACAATAAAACACATAGGATTACAAAGGAAGCCAGTTATAACAAAATATAGTCATCAAAATATTTATAAAAACAAGTTCACCAACCCCAGGCTAAAAGCTTCTGCTATAGAGGCCAAAGTAGATAATATGTTAGGTTTGAAGTCAGGAAAGTTTGGGTTCAAATCCTGCCTGATAATTGTTAGCTATGTGATCTAGGACAAGCGACTTAACTGTCTTTTAGCTCTCTAGAATTTATATGCTAAGTTTTCTGCATTGGTGGAGGGAGTTCCCTCACATTGAGTAAATCATATATTGAGTAAATTTTATCTATAGTGAATATCTCTCCCCAATTTCTATTGACAGTAGCCTGATTATCATGCATATGTACAACCAGGATTGCAGCTCTGGGCCTCAGTTTCCTCCTCTGTAAAATGAAGGGCTGTAAAATGTACCTTTTAGCTTTATGATTCTACAACATAAAAGCATATTTTTAATTAGGAAAGTCCTCTTGACCAAAAGAAAGGCAGTGTGGTATTGGTATAGAACTAGGAAGACTTAAGAATAAGTACAGTCTCTGTCAGCTGTTAAGACCTCCACTGGTAAAGGGAGTTTTCTCATCCAGGTAGCTCCTGATGAAATCATAAGTTCGATCTTTATCCCTAACTTCTTGACCAGAGATCTCATTCTTAGCAGTCTGGGCAATTTCACAGTTGATTTATAATAGCAACAAGTCAGTCTTTTCCAGTGCTTAAAATTACTTTGTGGCACCAAACTTTGACACTTGGAGAGACACATTTCTTCATTACAGATAACTAGCAGCAGAATTTAGTAACACGGCAGCTCTTCTCAGTTCTCCTGATCTCTGTAAGGAACAAAACCCTCCTTTATTCTCCCCTTTTAATCGTCAGAGTTAGCTTGGATGGACCACAGAGGGTCCTGGTTGCTACATCCCAGGTTAGTCAAAAGAAGAAGGTTCCTTAAATGTGTGTGCTTGTGTGTTTGTGTATGTGTGCATTTGTTTTTGCATATTTTAATTCTCCCTTCCTTTCAATGTACAGTAACAACTCACCGAGACATTATACATTTGGTAACCTTGGAGCAGTTCTAAATGAAAAAAGAAAAAAGAAGGAAGGAAGGAATAAAGGAAGGGGAAGAGGACAGGAAAGGAGGAAGTGAGGGAAGAAGGAAAAGAAACAGTGGAGGAGTGTAAGCCTCTGAACAATAAGAAAAAGAGGAAGAATTGAGGCAACATACTGTAGTAGGAGGGTACTTGACTTAGGTTTAAATCCCACCTCAGACAACTACTAGCTAAGTGACCTTGGTCAAGTCACTTAATCTTTCTGTGCCTCAGTCTCCTTGTATGTAAAATGAGGGAATCGGACTTAATGATCTCCAACTTGAAATCTATGATCCTATATACAATACAGTGTAATTGGTCTTCTTCGCAGATTGGAAGGAAAGGAATAGCCTCCTAAAAGGTAACTCCCTAATTAATATAATACAATAATTATATAACATCACATCATATTGTATTGATTACAACTGAGAAGCATGAAAACAACAGGTGAAGGGAAAAAAGAAAGGTTAAATGAATCAATCAATACTCATTTATTCAACACCTGCTATCAGTTAAAAACTCTTCCTGCTCTGGAAATATAAAGGCAAAAACAAAACAGTCTCTGCCTTCAAGGAGCTTACATTCTTTTAAAGTAAAAGACATGTGGACAGTCAGTTCTGCTGTAATGCGTGTTTTGAAAATGTGAATTTGTTCTCATTTGATAATTCGAATTTTGAGTTTGCTTCTTGCAGAACAAAGTGAGAGAATTGCTTCACAATACCTCATGAGCACCTTTCAGATGCCTACTTCCACAAACTCTAGATCTTTATCAAGATAAAGTGGCATATTTATTGTTTAGGTTTTGGCAAAGTAGGATCTGTGAACAGAAGGATTGCCCTGTGCTGCACCCCCACCCCCTCTCCGTGGGCTTCAGGCCCTAGGCCAAAAGGTATGTGGCCTCTCCCAACTTCTTTGCACAGCCTGAGTATTTATGTATTCTTAACCATTTAACATGTATAAAACTGCTACATATTTATTAGGTTCCTGTCTTTTTTTATACATCACTGACAGAGTTTTTGAGTGTTGTGCTCTTAACCCCATTGTCCCCATGGGCCCTGTGGTATTTATTGCCTTTTTTTTTTTTTTGCAAAGCACCATCTTCTGGAGACTATGTATGGGAATGCATATATCAAGTTATAGCAGAACTGACTATGTGTGTATATGGAAGAGCAAAAGCATACTAAGAAACATAGAAAGCTGCGATTCGAAAGGGAGATGAGGCAGCATGAGCAGCAGACACAATACCATCGTTGAGAAGTTACCTTGCTAAGCAGGGGCCTGCAGGAGCCTGCTCTGTCTCAAGAGATCTGACTTCTTAATTTTCAGTGTGAGCATTTACATCTTGGAAATGGGCAAACGCTACAAATCAGGGCTTGACTTATTGTTTTGTTGATTATCTAGACTTAAGAAAATGTTAATAATGAGATTAAATTTTTAAAAATTGTCACAGGTACATGCTTTCCCCCCAGGAGATGCAGTTATTAAACATTTACCAGCTATTGCTATTGGCAAACAAGAAAGCTACAAAAAGATGCAAGTAAACATTAGAACAGACCTGCGGTGTAGAGGCAAATAACTCCTTATTAGAGTCCTAGTTTTAGAGCAGGATGAAACCTTAGAAGACATCTAGTCTTGTCCTCTCATTTTACAGATGAGAAAACTGAGGCCCAGGAAGTTTATGTGACTTGTTCAAGGTCTTGTAGCTAGGAAATAACAGGAGGGGGATATAGAATCCAGGTTCTTTGACTCTAGACCCAGTGTTATTTCTACTCCAGTATGGTACCTCCTTTGGGTTCTGCCAATATCACAGTACACTCTATCCCATTGCTATTAAAACTTTGTATCACAACCAGCTCTATAATGATTATCTGTAGCCTATAAGGGACTTTAGTGAAAGCACAAATTAAATCATACTCATTTCAATTACTCCAATGACTTTCTTATATTATAATAATTAATCTTCATAGTGTAATGAGATCTGGCTCATGCCCAGAGCACCTGAGATAACGTCTCACCAGGTGGAGGATGATAAGGAACTGCTTCTGGGAGAATCATGATAATGTGTAAGGAATGTGCCTTGGAGAAACTGGAGCACGCATTGGACTTTCTGTCATTGGTTCCAAGAGGGTTCTCCGATTGGCTTACGAGGCATTCAGAAAGACTGTCACCTTTGGCTACCTCCTCTTTGTCTTTCTTTGACACTTTTTGCCTCATTATCTTCAGCTGTGCTCTGATGGTGTGATTGCAGTGAGAGAACCATAGCGTAAGGGAAAGGGCCATATCTCCCCTCCTTCCACCCCATATGAGGCCTCTTTGACTGGGCTAATTTTTTTTTTCCTTTCTAGGTGAAAGGAGTAGGGGCTTAAGCTTTGGTTGAGAGTGAGAGTCACAGGAATTTAGGAACCACAAGCCAGGCTGCAAATTGCAGCTAATGTAGCATCAATGAGTCTAGGAGAATGGGGAGAGAAGTGATCTTTCAGAGTAACCTTTGAGACTCCAAACTAGGGGAAGGATTCATATTGGCAGCAATGCTACCTTTGGACTTGAACTTGCTGAGACCAATACTGTATAGGAACTGAGCTAAATTTTGAGCTTTAATCGACCCTCCTTGCACTGATGCCCATACTCCCCCCCCCACACACAGAACAAGGTAGTCTAAGGGGCTTTATGCTCCTAAGGTTTGGGGAAATGTTTGTCTTTAGGGAAGCAAGCTGTAAATCAGGGACATGTTGAGGAGCTAGGGCCTCTCTACATGTGTGCAGTTTCCAAAATCTTTCCACATGCTTGGAGTCAGTTCTGAAGAGACTCTCACACTACATGTTTCCTCTTGAAGAAAGAATGAATTTCTATCCTCTCCAAAGTTCTTGCACCAACTTTGTCCTCATTCGGGCTCACAGCCTGCATCAGTATTCTTTCCATTTGTCTGGAGTCATAATTCAGCAGCAGCACACAAAGCACCAGTCTTGGTTGAAAGCATCAGTCCATATGTCTTCCCATAATTCTCTATAGTCATCATTTTTTAAAGCACAGTAATATTCCATGCCACTCATGTAACCACAATTTGTTTAGCCATTCTCCAACTGATGAAAGGCCTGTCTTTTTTTTACCACAAATATTATTCCAACAGTACTGTATGACAATAGAGTACAATATCAAAGAATTAAAGTTGTTGGTGACCCAAAGGGCAATGGAAAAGTGTATAGTGGATATGGGAAGGATACAATGCATTAAACAAATTGAGAAGAAAAAGAAGTCTAAAGGATGTCACCAGAAATACAAATATGGAAAAGGAAATGGATAGGTGGTGTACCTAGAGAGATAACTCATGTTTCATTAGATTGTGAGCTCCTTGAGGGTGGGAACTGCCTCTTACCTTTTTTTTAAAGCCCTAGCACTTAGCACAGTACCTGGTACATAGTAGAAGCTTAATAAATGTGTGCTGATTGTATTTAATTTGTTGTTGTTCAGTCATGTCCAACTCTTTGTGACCCCTTTTGGGGTTTTCTTGGCAAAGATACTGGAGTGGTTTGCCATTTCCTTCTCCAGCTCATTTTACAGATGAGGAAACTGAGGCCAACA